AGCTGGTGCATAGGAATGCATTGTTGGAGGTGCAAAGTGCAATGAAGTTTCTGGTGAGTGATAATCAGTTGAGGGGAACAGTGATTGCGCTTGGACATTTGTACAAGGAGACGCATGGAGAGTTAACGAATTCTATATACATGGCGGGCACCTCCGCCTTCACTTAGGGCGGGTAAGGCTGCAAACAGGGCCCCTTATACCTACCGAGGACCCTGATCCTCGCAGATGGTTTGTGATGGTATGAGGATGGAATGAGAGAGAGTTTGGGGATGTTGACTAACACGCACATGCGGACACACATGCATGCACGCACATGCAAACAAGCACACGTACACATGCGCATGCACACGCACACGCACACGCATACACACACCGACAGAGGGGGCGGCCAGGGGAGACGGAGAGAGGGTAAACTTAGGGGTTGAGAGAGAGAGAGAGAGAGAGAGAGAGAGAGAGAGAGAGAGAGAGAGAGAGAGAGAGAGAGAGAGAGAGAGAGAGAGAGATGGAAGTGTCAATTGTGACCAAAAAGAGTCGAAGCAACTTGGATGAAGTAAGCAGAACATAAAATAAGAGCAATTGGAACAATGAGAAGAAGATCGAAAGACCATGCATAATTAAGACTGCAGAACGCGAGGCATGTGAGTAAAACTTGGTGATTGTTGCTGTCCGTGGTAGTGATGCACGAAAACAAAGCAGAACCGTGAGGTCGTTTTTCTTTACTTTTTTCCCATTTTCATTGTAGAGAATTGACAGAACTGGCCCAGTCTGAAATGAACCGCTTGGAGACTAATATGCTGTGTGGGATGCTGTGCCATGAGTGATGCTATGCTATGTGCAATGCTATGCCCGATGCTATGTGCACTGCTATGTGAGCTGCGATGTGCGCTATGTGTGCTGCCATGTGCACTGCTGTGCACACTGCTGTTTGCGGTGCTATCTCTGCTGCTATGTGTGTCGGTATGTCTGCGGCTATGTGTGCCACTATGTCTGTCGCCATGTGCGCTGCTATGTGCGCTGCTATGTGTGCCACTATTTGCGCTGCTAGATTCGCTGCTATGTGTGCCGCTATGTGTGCTGCTATGTGTGCTGCTATGCGCGCCGCTATGTGTGCTGCTATGCGTGCTGCTATGTGTGCTGGTATGTGCGCTGGTATGTGCGCTGCTCTCTCTGCTGCTATATGCACTGCTATGTGCACTGCTCTCTCTGCTGCTATCTCTGCTTCTATGTGCACTGCTATTTGCGCTGCTATGTGCACTGCAATTTGCAAGGCTATGTGTTCTGCCATTTGCGCGGTTATGTGCACTGTGCTGCTATTTGCGTGACTTTATGCACTGCTATGTGTGCCGCTATGTGTGCTGCTATGCGTGCCACTATGTGCGCTGGGATGTGCACTGCTATGTGTGCTGATATGTGTGCTGCTATGTATGTGGCTCTCTCTGCTGCTATATGCACTGCTATCGATGCTCTCACTGCTGCTATGTGCACTGCAATTTGCGCTGCTATCTCTGCTGCTATCTGCACTGCTATTTGCGCTGCTATGTGCGCTCCTATTTGCACGGTTATGTGTTCTGCCATTTGAGTGGCTATGTGCGCTGCACTGCTATTTGCACGGCTATATGCGCTGGTATGTGTGCCACTATGTGTGCTGCTATGTGTGCCACTATGTGTGCTGGTATATGTGCTGCTATGTGTGCTGGTATGTGTGCTGCTATGTATGTTGCTATCTCTGCTGCCATATGCACTGCTATTTGCGATGCTCTCTCTGCTGCTATGTGCACCGCTATTTGAACTGCCCTGTGGGCTGGTATCTCTGCTGGTATGTACGCTGCTATTTGCGCTGCTATTTGCTCTTCTATTTGCACGGTTATGTTCTGCTGTTTGCGCAGCTATATGGACTGCTATGTGTGCTGCTATGTGTGCCACTATGTGCACTGCTATGTGTGCTGCTATGCGTGCTGCTATGTATGTTGCTATCTCTGCTACTATTTGCACTGCTATTTGTGATGCTCTCTCTGCTGTTATGTGCACCGCTATTTGCATTTCCTTGTGGGCTGGTATCTCTGCTGCTATGTACACTGCTATTGTTTTACTATGTGTGCTGCTATTTGCACGGTTATGTGTTCTGCCATTTGTGCGGCTATGTGCGCTGCACTGCTATTTGCGCAGCTATATACGCTGCTATGTGTGCTGCTATGTGTGCTGGTATGTGCGCTGATGGTATCTGAAGAATAAGCATCGGCTAACTCTGTGCCACCAGCCGTGGTAAGACAGAGGATGCAAGCGTTATCCGGAATGATTGGGCGTAGAGCGTCTGTAGGTGGCTTTTTCAGTCTGCTGTTAAAAGCTAGGGCCTAACCCTAGACACCAGCAGAAACTACTGTGTTGCTTTCTCTGCTACTATATGCACTGCTATTTGTGATGCTCTCTCTCTGCTGCTATGTGCACCGCTTTGCACTGCTATGCGTGTTGCTATGTCCCTACACTATTAAAATCGCGAAGGGAACCAATCTCTGATGCAGGCCGTCGTTGGTCCTACCGGTCCACGGCCTGGATCGTTGGAAACATGTAATAAACCTGAAATCCCGGCCATCGGGTTGTACCGGATCGACGGGCCGGATTGGCGTGCGATCTTAAGATATTGAACCGCCAGTACACGGCCCCAGCCTTCCTGAAAATGAAACTCGTGGCCTATGAAATTTTCGGAAGCTCAGCGTACCGGACCACAATGGCTGGTGGCCCAGCCAAAAAGGAAAGAAAGTGCACCGCTGGGGGTTCGGAAAAGCTTGGCGCGCAGTAAGGCGCCTCCA